CCTGTCTGGATTTTGTACCTTTTGAGAAGCACTCAGAAAAGAGACTTCTGCAAAGTCTTGGCACAAATGCCTGGAAACCTTCCTCCTGCATGCCACGGGGCTCAGAAAGCAAGACACTTAAATGCATAGAGGACGGCAAATATTAAAAATACTAGGTCTAGAGGTCCTTGAGGGTGGTCAGCCCTTGTGAGCCTGCCAGCGTGTATCTGTGTGACAGACACCTGAGAGGGCCTTGGAGAACATCTCCACGTTCCCGAGAAGAACATCTGCAGGTCGCATCCAGCCAACTTAGCTCAGCCGTGCACTTTTGCTTGCTGTCTCACACTCACATTGCCTCCCAAAACCGAGGCAGCAGAAACCTCAGAGGGGCCAGAGATGGATGAAGGCAGCGATACATGCAAAGCATGCAAGATGAGAGGCTGGAAGTGACCGGGGTGATGGGGAGAGGAATGTAAAACACTGAGACCACGGTGAAAACTGAAGAGTCTCAGCTTTCTGCCACTTCAAGGACAAGGAAAATCCAGCGTAATGGAAACACGACTTATCTAGATCTCATCAAAGGCGAAAATTTGCCATGCAAAACCTGAATCAGCAGAAGTCACAGCTAGACATTTGCATCCCTCAACTGAACACCCTTGGCCATCCCTCAGATTTTGGCCTCAGAAGGTCCCACACTGGAGACCATCCCCAAGCTTTGCCTTGCAGAGGCCCGGCCCTCTGGCCAAAACTGCCATGCAAACGGCTGCTTCATGGGCTTTTTAGACCTTATTTTGAAGCAAAACACAGAGGCCAGTGTGGGAAAGGAGACCCTGTCTGGGTACGGGTCCCTGGGCTCTGTTATCGGCTGATTTTCCAAGCCACGTTCACCCGGACATGGTCCAAGCAGGTCCCCACCACACACGAGCAAGACTTTGGAGGAAGCACGGCAATACGGCATTTGGGGATGAGACACCTAAGAAAGCCAACCCTTGCTCTGGAGTCCTGCAGGTTTTCAACTGGTGCTCCCCGCTCCACATGTGTCTTACCGTCCTGAGAATGCCTGGTAAAAAAATCACAATACCACATTTAAAAGTGGCTTTTTGAGGGTTTTTTGTTTGCTTTTCAAAGCCCAGAGGAATTAGGAAGATGCAGGATTTCAATTCTTTCTTTCAAATGTGATGACGTAAGCGTGATTTTGCCCCGTAGCCGTGACTGAATAGCTGCATGGGAAACCCTTGCTGGATGAGACACAGAGCGACCCGTGAGCATCAGCAGCACCGTGACCATGGGGATGAGGGCAGCTCAGAGGACCTGGCACATGGGGAGCACAGCATGGGAGGAGGAAACACTCTGAGCTGGTATGATTGGACTCGAAAGGATCGTACGCCTGCCAGAAACCCCGTTGTGCTCAGAGCTGTGCTGGCAGAGCCGAAGAAGAGCCCTTCCTCCAACAGCGCTGAGTTTTTATAGAGAAATGCAAAGTGTGGGAGAAAGAAAGACTCATCCCCAGATCACAGATGGTGAAGTGAAGACCGAGGGCATGCATGGGATGCAACAGCCAGGAATTAAGCCAGCTCTCCTACGCCCCAACCCAGTGCCACGCCGTAAAATTGTTGCTCCAGGCTTGTAATCGTACGATAAAACAAGCCTGGGTGATGCAAAGCACCTATCAGTCTGTTGAGAGATGCAACGATTAAATAAAAATAAGCCAGAAACAATTTCTATCTGGTCTGTAAAAATAGCAGCCCCTGCACCTCCATTTCTCAGCGGAGGCTTCGCTGAGCAATCGCTGCGGTTATGCATCAGCTCGCTGCAGAAAGGAAAGCTGACGTGAACACCGCCGGTGCGCCGGGAGCCGGCGATGGGCAGCGCAACCGGTTTGGGATCGTTTCCTGCCTGCAATAATTTCCCATCCCGGATTTCCAGCTTTTTGCACGGTTCTGCTCCATGAGAAAGCAAACAGGGCTGTTACAATGCCCCAAATCCCTCCCTGCCACAGCTGGATGGACCTGCCTTTAGCCCTGAAATGCAAGAGTGGCTTTGCACGGGTCATTATTAGAGGGTGAAGGCAAAAGGAAGGGGTTTGCTAGGATGCCGGTTGCTTAAGGGGAGAAAAAAGGGTTTGAGCAAGGCGATGCTGTGGAAGGACATCCAGTCCCCACGCTCCGGTTGCTGATCTGCCCCCCAGGGCCACTACATCTTCCCCGGGCAAGGATGGTGTCTCTCCTGCCCTTCTTCTCCCTGCTATCACTGTCGGGGCAAACACACCCTAAAAAAATGAATCAAATCTGTTTTCCTGGAGAGGGGCCAGCCCCGTGGCAGGCTCGGTGCTGCTTGGGAGCCCCGGGCCCGCCGCCGC